GACAAGTCACTGCTCGTCTAGCAGCTTTAATAATTCGACCTACTCTTAGAGATCGAATTATAGAAGCACAAAATAAAGACTCATTTTTGCAGAAGATTAAGAATGAAGTTGGTACCGATAACAAAAAGGACTTTAGAATAACTGAGGATCAGGCACTGATATTTAGAGAAAGAATTTGCATGCCTAAGGATGAAACCTTGAGAAAAGAGATATTAAAAGAAGCTCATTCCACCCCGTACATCGCACATCTCGGTGGTACGAAAATGTATCGAGATCTTCGAGATACATTTTGGTGGAGAAATATGAAAAGAAGTATAGGGCTGTACGTGCTGAAGTGCATGGTATGTCAACATGTTAAAGCAGAACACCAAAAACCAGCTGGATTATTAAATCCACTAGATATACCTGAATGGAAATGGGAAAATATCACGATGGACTTTGTGGTTGGATTCCTGAAGTCAGCAAGAGGAAATAATGCTATATGGGTAGTAGTGGATTGACTAATGAAGTCAGCTCATTTTCTTCTAGTTAAAATGACATTCAGTTTAGACCAATTGGCACAGTTGTACATTAAAGAGGTTGTGAGATTACACAGTGTACCTGGATCCATTGTGTCTGACAGAGTACACGGTGTACCTGTATCCATTGTGTCTGACAGATACCCAAGTTTCACGTCCAAATTTTGGAAAAGTCTACAAGGAGCTATGGGAACGAAGCTGAACTTTAGTACAGCATATCACCCTCAGTCCAATGGTCAGTCTGAAAGGACCATCCAAACTTTGGAAGACATGCTAAGAACATGTGTTTTGGATCTAGGAGGTAATTGGGAGTCATACTTACCTCTATTAGAGTTTGCTTATAATAACAATTTCCAAACAACTATTGGAATGGTACCATACAAAGCTCTCTATGGTAGAAGATGTAGATCCCCTGTTCATTGGGATGAAGTCGGAGAGAAGAGAGTTTTGGGACCAGAAACGGTTGAAAGGATGATCGAGGTAATCGATAAGATCCATGCAAGAATAAAGGCAGCACAGGATCGACAAAAGAGCTATGCAGATACAAGGAGGAAGGATTTATAATTTCAAGTTGGGGATAAAGTGTTTCTGAAAGTAGCACTGATAAAAGGTCTACTTAGATTTGGAAAGAAAGGCAAGCTACGACCCCGGTATATCGGACCTTTCGAGATACTTGATAGAGTCGGAAATGTTGCTTACCGACTAGCTTTGCCACCTGAATTATCAGCAGTGCACGATGTGTTCCATATATCGATGATAAAGAAGTATGTACATGATCCTAATCATGTAGTGAGTTATCAAACCTTAGAGGTATAGAAAGATTTGTCGTACGAGGAACTACCGATCAAGATATTGGATTGAAAAGTGCATAAACTAAGGAATAAAGAGATTCAGCTGGTTAAGATACAGTGGAATCATCATGACATAGAAGAAGCCACTTGGAAAAAAGAAGAAGAAGCCAAAGACAAGTATCCAACACTATTCACCCAATCAGAAGGTAAATTGCAAGGACGAAATTTTAATTAAGGTGTGGGGGATGTAGAACCCCAAATAATTCTAGACACCTTAGTGCACTAAGACATGAATATTGGATGACTAAAGTATACTACAAATTTTAAGTCTCATTTGAGATCCATATTCGACATAGGAAACATTCGATTTGGAAAATGATATCTAAATAAAAGTTGTAGCTCTTTGAGTTAGCTTTCCAACGCACTTTGAATTACCTCAATTGGATATCAGAAGAAGAAGTTATGATAGAAACACTAAAAACTGTGTAGTGTCAACCGGTCAACTGAAGCTGCCTGAAATGAAAATTCTCGTTTTTCTCTAGAATTTAAATATATATTTTCATCAATTATTTTCTAAAAGGATCACCCACATTTTTGGCAATAAAAATCCCACTAAATTGAAGCATTTAACCTCAAACTTAAAGGGCACCCATGTTTTCTCTCTTAAATGAAATTTGACCCTTCATTTGCTTTAAGTTATGGGATATTTACCTATAAATAGAGACCTCATTTTGCTCATTTTTTTTCTCACACCAAAAGCAAGAGTTTTTACATACTAAAGAAAGAGTTTCCAAGAGAGAAAAAGAGAGGGAGGAAAACTATTTTTCCTAGAAGTTTAAGAAGTGTTTTCTAGCATCAATTCTCAACAGTTTTCAAACATCCAAGGAGTACATTTCTTTCAACGTCCAAGTTTCATCAAAGTTTTCAATCCAAGTTTTCAAAGTTTCAAAAGCTTCAGTCAAGGTAGGTAGAGGTGCAATGTGTTTAATCGTGTTAAGTTATAAGTTTCGATTCATGTCAATGTTTGTATGTTAAATGGTACTCCGATACGGCATATCCCTCTATGTTAATAGTTGTATGTCAAATGGTACTCCAGTACGGCATACCCCTCTATGTTGAAAAAATGTTTATATGTCAAATGGTGCCCTCGGCTACGGCATATCCCTTCATGTCAAATGGTGCCTCCGGGTACGGCATGTATGAAAAGTTATAAAGTTAATGTTTTGAAATGTATAGCTTGATCACGAATGCACCTATGACACCTATTGAGTTTTTTCAACTCACGGGTTTAATCACATCTCTACAGATTGAAGGAATTCTACCTTGGGCATGGATGGAGGAGAAGATGGAGAGTAATGCAACAAGCCCATGGAAATCCGGTGAATAAGTGATTTGGATTTATTTTTATGAAATGTTTTCCAATGTTGTTTCTTTAAAGTTTTGAATAACGCAGAATGCGAGAACAAGTTATGTTTTCTTCAAATAAATTACATTTGTTTGTTTTGAAAAATGATTCAGTGTTTTTGTTTAAAGTATTTGAAGTATTGTTATTTAAATTATTATCCGAAGATGTAAGCTTCCGCTAAAACGTATACACTTGTTACTAAACCATCGGTTAAGCTAAGTAAAGTAAGTAGCATTCCGGTCCACTAGGGGTCGAGGCGTTACATGCACATCGCGTCCCAGAAAATGCCTAGAATATTATGAAAATTAGGCTATGTCCCTGCCGCATCTTGGACATTGCCTACACATCGTATCCCAGAAATTGCCTAGAAATGCCTGGAAATCAGGTTACATTCCTACCACGATCAGGACACGCCCCGAACATGGTCTGGGCTCCATGCCAAAAAACTGCTTTGAAATGCCTGAAAATCAGGCTCTGTCCCTGTCGTGGCTCGGATGCGTCCTGAATATGGCCTGCATACCATGACCTAGAAACTGCCTAGAAATGCCTGAAATGAGGTTACATCCCTGTCACGTCCAGGATGCACCCCGGACATGGCTTGCACACGGTGCCTAAAAACTGTCGAAAAATGCCTGAAAATCAGGCTGCGTCCCTTTCGTGGCCATGACTTGTCCCGAATTTGGCCTGCACACCGTGTCCCAAAAACTGCCCAAAATGTCTGGGAACATGCATGCGTCCTAACAGGGCCTGCACACCGTGCTTCATTCATTTGATTGAAAATCTGTTGCGCCCCTAACGTGGTCAGGACTCGTCCCGAACATTTCCTGCACACCGTGCCCAAAAATTGCCTAGAAATGCCTGAAAATCATATTATGTCCGCGGCCAAGACGCCTCTCGGACATGGCCTTCATATCGTGCCCATAAACTACCTAGAAATGCCTAAAAATCAGATTGCGTCCGCAGCCAGGACGCATCCCGAACATGCCCTGTACACCATGTCCTAGAAACTGCCTACAAATGCTTGAAAATCAGATTGCGTCCGCGGCCAGGACACCTCTCGGACATGGCTTGCACACCGTACCCATAAACTACCTAGAAATGCCTAAAAATCATATTGCGTCCACGGCCAAGACGCAGTCTCGGACATGGCCTGCATATCGTGCCCATAAACTACCTAGAAATGCCTAAAAATCAGATTGCGTCCGCAGCCAGGACGCATCCCGAACATGCCCTGTACACCATGTCCTAGAAACTGCCTACAAATGCTTGAAAATCAGATTGCGTCCACGGCCAGGACACCTCTCGGACATGGCTTGCACACCGTACCCATAAACTACCTCGAAATGCCTAAAAATCATATTGCGTCCACGGCCAGGACGCATCCCCGACATGATCTGCACACTGTGTCCTAGAAATTGCCTACAAATACTGAAAATAAGGCTGCGTCCTAGACATGTCCTGCACCCCATGTCCAAGAAACCTTAAACCCCAGGCCCTAAATCGTAACCACTAAGCCCTAAACCCTAAGCCCTGACCCTGAACCCTGGATCCTGAACCTTGGACCCTAAACCCTAAACCCTGAATCACTTTCCTTCTAATGAAGGAAATCAGTTTCGAAATTTTTCTTCAAATGGCACAACCAGTAATTACACCACCGAAAAGCCAAGCTTCATGGAAGGACTTCAACATGAAAAAAAAAACTTCGAGTGAAAATCTTTCAGTAAATGTGATACCTGCACCAGTCAACCCTGATATCAGATATCAGATAAAAGTTCTTCTTCCAGATATCAGATAAAGGGCCAGTAGATAGGCGAAGAAGACAGGAGACTAATTAGCTTAGTACATCAATTTGGATTAAGGAAATGGACTAAATAGCTGAAGAAATGGTTGGTAGAGTGGGAAAACAGTGTCGTAAGCGATGGAATAATCATCTGCGTTCTCATATCAAGAAGGATGTTTTGACCGACGATGAAGAGAGACAGTTAATTCAAGCACATGAAAGACTTGGAAATCGAAGGCCAAAGATAGCTAAGTACATTCCTGGAAGAGCTGAAAATTCAATAAAGAATCACTGGAATGCTACAAAAAGGAGGCAGATTTCAAGGAGAAAGATAAAGAAAGTAAAAGGAGATAGAAGACAGTCAACATTATTAGAAGATTATATCATAAAAAAGTATTTCAGTAATGGTTCCACCTCCACTAACTCAAATTCCAGCATCACCACCACTATAGCAAATCCTTCCAACGTCGGCACACCACTCCCAAGTGATGAAGACTCTACACCATTTTTTAGTTTTGAATCATGCAATAACGAAATGGATTTCATGAAAACCCTATTTGAAAATAATTAGTCCATCGATTCAATCCCAGTCGATCATTGTCAACCAATGAATCCAGCTGAAGGGACATCTGAGAATACTTATAGCTTCAACATTGATGAAAATTATAATCATCCCACCATTTTCTTCACTTCCCTAGAGATTTTACAGACAACTAATTCTCAACAGCCTGCTGTAGAATATGTGGAAAATGACTTATTCCATTCTGCTCCAAACCCAATGGGGAATAAATTTTTCCATTCTGAAATTCAAATTAAATCATGGAATTTAATTCTAACTTTCAAAGCGTGGAGACTGAAGCTTCACAGATTTATCCTGATGAGTTGTACTCTTCATATCAATGGGATGGAGACAATGCTGGAAGCGTAAATTTAACAACAAATCTGCCAACGATTAATTAAGGTACAACCTTTGGAAGCACAATGGACACGGATTTGATGGACATGGTCTCATCTTCTTAGCTACCTCCTCAATTAAGACCATACAATGGCTTCTTCTAATCTAGTTAATAATTATTATCCTATAATTATTGTGTTTTGGCTTAGTTAAACACTCTATGACTTTACAAATATTAGTAAAACTGAAATCTACTGCTTCGTTAGAACTTATTAAAGGGAAATTCAAGCCAGAAAAATCCTAAACCCTGAACCCTAAGCCCTAAACCTCGATGAGGCCACCTCCGATTTGAGACACCCTAATGAGGTAAGGGTGTGTATTGGGGTGAATTTGGGGCATAAGTTGCCCGAAAGGGTTTGGATTGAGTGCGCCGATAACCGTAGCTTTTGGCAGACGGTTATTTATTAGAAACGGCCAAATTTTTGCTTCTCTTGTAAACAATTGGACCATTCTTATGATCAGTGTACTACGGTTCCTTCTCCTCCCCCTATAGTTGTTGTGTATCCCCTTGTTTAGGCTGCATCCTTGCCGCAGCCCAGACGAGTCTCGGACATTGCCTGCACACCGTATCCAAGAGACTACATAGAAAAATGTGAAAATCAAGATGTGTCCTTGCAGCATCCTGGACATGGCCTACACATCGTGTCCTGAAAACTACCCAAAAACCAGGTTGCATCCTTGTCATGGACCAAATGCATCCCGAACATTGCCTGTACATCGAGTTCCAAAAATCGCCTAAAAATACTTGGAAGTCTGGATGCGTCCCTGCTGCATCCTGGACATGGCTTGCACACCGTGTCCATGAAACTGCCCAGAATTACCTTAAAATCAGGCTCCATCCCTACCTTGGCCTCGACGTGTCCCGACATGGCCAGCACGCCAAGTCCCAAAAATTGTAAAGAAATGCCTGAAAATTAGGCGGCATCCCAGCCACGGCCTGGATGCATCCCGGACATGCCCTGCACACCGTGCCCACAAATTGCCTAAAAATTAGGTTACATCCCTACAGTGTCTAGGACGCGTCCCAGACGCGGCTTGCACACCGTGTCCAACAACTTCCTAAGAATGCCTGAAAATCAGCTGCATCCCTACGTAGCCCTGATGCGTCTTGGTCATGGCCTGAACACCATGTCCCTAAAACTACCTAGAAATGCCCGAAAATAAGGTTACGTCCCTGTTGCGTCCTGGACAAAGCCTGCACACCGTGTCCAAAAAACTGCCTAGAAATGCCTGGAAATCAGGCTGCATTCCTGTAGCAGCCCCAACGCGTCCCAAAAATTGCCTGCACACTAGGTCGAAAAAATTGCCTAGAAATACGTGAAAATCAAGATGTGTCCCTACCACGGCCTAGATGCGTCCTGGACACTGCCTGCACACTTGGCCCCAAAAGCTGCCTAAAAATACCTAAAAGTCAAGATGCGTCCCCGTCGCATCCTGGACATGGCCTGTACACCGTGTCCCAGAAACTACCCAGAATTGCCTAAAAATTAGGCTTCATCCTTGCCATGGCCATGCCGTGTCCTTGACATGGCCTACACACCGAGTCCTAGAAATTGCCAAGAAATGCCTGAAAATCAGGCTGTCTTTGCCGAGGCCAAGACGTGTCCCAAACATAGTCTGCACACCGTGCCCATAAACTGCCTACAAATGCCTGAAAATCAAACTGCATCCCTACCACGGCCAGGACACTTCCTGGACGTGCCCTGCACACAATGCCCAAGAACTTCCCAGAATTGCCTGAAAATCAAGTTGCATCCCTATCATGGCCCGGATGCGTCCTGGTCATCGCCTGCACACCATGTCCTAGAAACTGCCTTAAAATGCCTAAAAATCTGGTTGTGTCCCTACCTCGTCCTGGACATGTCCTGCACACCGTGTCCTAGAAACTGCCTTAAAATGCCTAAAAATCTGGTTGTGTCCCTACCTCGTCCTGGACATGTCCTGCACACCGTGTCCTAGAAACTGCCTTAAAATGCCTAAAAATCTGGTTGTGTCCCTACCTCGTCCTGGACATGTCCTGCACACCGTGTCCTAGAAACTGCCTTAAAATGCCTAAAAATCTGGTTGTGTCCCTACCTCGTCCTGGACATGTCCTGCACACCGTGTCCTAGAAACTGCCTTAAAATGCCTAAAAATCTGGTTGTGTCCCTACCTCGTCCTGGACATGTCCTGCACACCGTGTCCTAGAAACTGCCTTAAAATGCCTAAAAATCTGGTTGTGTCCCTACCTCGTCCTGGACATGTCCTGCACACCGTGTCCTAGAAACTGCCTTAAAATGCCTAAAAATCTGGTTGTGTCCCTACCTCGTCCTGGACATGTCCTGCACACCGTGTCCTAGAAACTGCCTTAAAATGCCTAAAAATCTGGTTGTGTCCCTACCTCGTCCTGGACATGTCCTGCACACCGTGTCCTAGAAACTGCCTTAAAATGCCTAAAAATCTGGTTGTGTCCCTACCTCGTCCTGGACATGTCCTGCACACCGTGTCCTAGAAACTGCCTTAAAATGCCTAAAAATCTGGTTGTGTCCCTACCTCGTCCTGGACATGTCCTGCACACCGTGTCCCAGAAACTATCTAGGAATGCCTGGAAACTAGGCTACATCCCTGCCACAGCCCAGATGCATCCCGAACATTACCTGCACATCGTGTTCCAGAAACTACTTAAAATTACCTGAAAGTCAGGATGTGTCCCTATCGCATCTTTGACATGCCCTGCACACCGAGTCCAAGAAACTGCCTAGAATTGCTTGAAAATGAGGCTTCGTCTCTACCGTGGCCATGCCACGTCTTGAACATGGCTTGACATCGAGTCCCAGAAATTGCCAAGAAATGCCTAAAAATCGAGATGCGTCCCTATCGCAGCTAGGACGGGTCCGGGACATGGTCTGCACACCGTGCCCACAAACTGCCTACAAATGCCTAAAAATCAAGTGGCGTCCCTACCACGATCAGGCAAGTCCCAGAAGTGGCCAGCACACCGTGCCTAAAAACTTCCTAGAAATGCTTGAAAATCAGGCTGCATCCATGCCGTCGCGGGAAGCGTCCCGTTCATGGCCTGCACACCATCTCCCAGAAATTTCCTAGAAATGCCTAAAAATCAAGCTACGTCCTTGACGCATCGTGGACGTGGCTTGCACACTGTGTCCCAAAAACTGCCAAGAAATGCCTTGAAATCCGGTTGCATCCCTGCCACAGCCTAAACACATCCCGGACATTGCCTGCACATCGTGTACCAGAAAACTATCTAGAAATACTCGAAAATTAGGATACTTCCCTGCAGCATCCTGGACATGGCTTACACTTTGTGACCACAAAACTACCTAGAAATGCTTGAAAATCAGGCTGCGTCCCTACCGCGGCTAGGACATGGCCTGCACACTGTGTCCTAGAAACTACGTACAAATACCTAGATATTAGGCTGCATCCTTATCGCGGCCCAGACGATTCCCGAACATGGTCTGCACACCACGTCCCAGAAATTGCCTAGAATATCATGAAAATCAGGCTGTGTTCCTGCCGCATCTTGGACATTGCCTGCACACCGTGTCCTAGAAATTCCCTAGAAATGCCTAGAAATTAGGTTGCGTTCTTGCCATGATCAGGACACATCCTGAACATGGTTTACATGTCGTGCCAAAAAATTGCCCTGAAATGCCTGAAAATCAGGCTCCGTCCCTGCCTTGGCTCGGATGCGTCCTGAACATGGCCTGCACACCATGACCTAGAAACTGCCTAGAAATTCTTGAAAATGAGGTTACGTCCTTGTCACGTCTAGGATGCATCCTGGACATGGCCTGCACACAGTGCCCAAAAATTGTCAAAAAATGCGTGAAAATCAGGCTACGTCCCTTTCCTGGCCATGACTTGAAAATTTGGCCTGCACACCATGTTCCAAAAACTACCCAGAATGTCTGGGAAAATGCATGCACCCCTAACATGGCCTGCACACCGTGTTTCCTTCATTTGGTTGAAAATCTGCTTGTGCCCCTAACGTGGTCAGGACGCGTCTCGAACATTGCCTGCACACCGTGCCCACAAACTGCCTAGAAATGCCTAAAAATTAGATTGTGTACGTGGCCAGGACACCTCTTGGACATGGCCTGTACACCGTGCCTATAAACTGCCTAGAAATGCCTAAAAATCAGATTGCGTCCACGGCTAGGATGAATCTCGGACAAGGCCTGCACACCATGTCCTAGAAACTGCCTAGAAATGCCAGAAAATAAGGTTGCGTCCTGGACATGTCATGCACACCGTGTCCCAAAAACCGTCCTAAGCCCAAAGCCCTAAGCCCTAAGCCTTGACCCTAAACCCTAAACCCTAAACCATTTTCCTTCTAATGAAGTAAATCAGTTTCAGAATTTTTCTTCAAATGGCACAGCCAGTACTTACACCACCGGAGAGCCATGCTTCATAGAAGGACTTCAACATGAAAAACAAACTTTGGGTGAAAATCTTTCAGTAAATGTGATACCTGCACCGGTCAATCCTGATCGGAAGGAGAAGAGAGAGAATAGTTCTTCTTCCGGATATCAGATAAAAGACCAGTGGATAGGCGAAGAAGACAGGGGACTGATTAGCTTAGTTCATCAACTTGGATTGAGGAAATGGGCTGTAATAGCTGAAGAAATGGTTGGTAGAGTGGGAAAACTGTGTCGCGCGCGATGGAATAATCGTCTACATCCTCATATTAAGAAGGACATTTTGACTGACGATGAAGAGAGACGGTTAATTCAAGCACATGAAAGACTTGAAAATCGATGGGCAGAGATAGCTAAGTACATTCCTGGAAGAACTAAAAATTCAATAAAGAATCACTAGAATGTGATAAAAAGGAAGTAGATTTCAAGGAGAAAGATAAAGAAAGTAAAAGGAGATAGAAGATAGTCAACATTATTATAAGATTACACCATAAAAAAGTATTTCAATAATGGTTCCACCTCAACTAACTCAAATTCTAGCACCACCACCAC